TCTATCTATCTATCTATCTATCTATCTATCTATCTATCTATCTATCTGTATACTAACAGAATAACTAACAAATTAATGCTTGAGACAAATCACAATCTAGATTCTGGTGTCTTGCCATCAGTTACTGCAGACCATGCTCAATAGGCAATTAAGACAATTTAGTCAGAAACTGCCTCTCACTTAACAACAAATCATTCTAGCAATACTGTACATGGCTCCTATTGACAGCATCAACCCATTTGAATTATTGAAACATGTGGTGGAGATTTTCAATGGAGGACTTACACATCAAGGAACGTCTGACGGAGGTGTGGAAAACACTAAGTCAAGTCATAAGAGTGTAGCGGGAGACAAGGGTCCAGAGGAGTCCTAATTCCTCTGTGGAAGGTTCCTTGCTAAGGGTTTAATGCTTTATCAGCTCCGAAGATAGACGGTGCAGACAGAGGGTAGACTTTCAGCAGTGACTGCTGACACAGGAATAGGATTCAGATTAATTTTAAGTGGATTATGACATTTTACACAGTCTCCTTTGATGATAATAGTTCATAAAAGGATCAGTCAACACGGTTATAAGCCCATTACTCACTTCATCCTTTTCTGTTGCTTAATCTGTCGGTGGACTTTCATGTGCTGAGACCAGGGGGTAAGGTTCACTGACAAATGTGCTCTGGGATGCATTTGCATTTTCTGCAATGAGCCCTCATGCATTATCCCGTTCTGCGATCATCAATAACTACCTGGCATTATCTTATTATGCACATTATATGCCAGCCACCGCTCCCAAAATGAAATTACAGAAAGATGAAGTTGTTGTTGTCGAGTGCAGTGAGCAGATCTCCACATGCGGCATCCAGGAAAAGAAAGCTGTGAGAGACACAGCCCGGGTGAAATGGGTTGGTAAACATGGCCGACAGATAAGACACATTGGTATTCAGCTGCATCTCGCCAAGCTGGCCTCGAGGCCTGGCTGATAATACCCGCTCTCGGCTTCAGGGTCAGAGGTCTTAAGTTGATTGGCAACAGGCTGACACAGGGAAATAGAGTGTGCTGACTGGAGTCTAATGGGGTTGACGCGCGCAGACGTATCAGCGTGGCTGGCATGTTGGCAATGCCACGGTCTCACTCTGACCCTCGCGCACCTGGATGCTTACAGGTTGTTCACTAATCTATTAGCCCCTTTGTCAGACACCTCTGGCCTCTCTCACACAGCACAGCAGCACACAGGCCTGTCCTTCTGCCACTTCTGTCATGCTGGATTGTTTTCCTCACAACAGTGTTTGCTCTGCCTCATTCGCTTTCAGCTGTACCTCCCAGCTCTTTACGCCTCCCGGCCGCTGCTGTCTACCAACATGCCCAAATGCATTCAACCGGAGAATCCCATATAAGTATGATCTCTCTCTCTCTTTCCGTCACCTCTTCTCTCCCTGTCTCTCTTTTGTCACTCTCTAGTTCTCTCCCAAACCCCCCCCCCCCCCACTCGTACACACGTATATTTACTCGCAGCCGTCCAGGCACAAAACACAAACGCCCACTAACAAATGTGCGCACACATAAACACGCAGAACAGTGATTATTTCTATGACTCTCCGCTGATGTCCTACATTACTCAGCTCTCACTGAAATAGCTTATTCACACTTAAATTCCCATTTGGGGAAAAAAGCCGCTCGCTGCACCAGCAACACGGCAGCAGCGTATTTGGAAGCATGACAACACCAAGAAGATTTCTCAGAGCATCCCTAAGTAATGACACGAAAAGTAATCCGCTGTCAGCTCGCAGCCTTTGTGCAGAGCAGGAGTGTTACAGTTGCAGGAACAGGAAAGTGGGCTCTTGGAAGAGCACTTATTAAGGCTATACGCATGACAGCCATTGGGTTTGGTTCTCTGTCAGAGAGAGGGAGTTCATTAGCATTGATCTGTTTGCAATACCTGATGCCTTTTGCTCACTGAAGAGAAAACAAATTGATGATTTTTGGCTTATGCTCCACCGTCTGCCACTGTGGAAAAACTGAAATCTTTACGTCCTTTTGGAACGGCAACATCCTGTTCTTGTGTTGTTGAAGCAACATCTGTTTGAGCTGCAAAATTCCACCATCAAATCTAAACTGTGGCGTAGAAGCCAGTAGAAGTAGCTTGTCCTTGTGGCGGCTGTCTCATTTGATTATGGTAATCACAGCGGAGCTTCAGTATTAATGTGGTAGTGATTTATTGATGTTAAAACGCTATTTGTAGCCGCTTCAGCTTAAGTCGCCATCCTCTGATTTGAAAATGATGCTTTCTGACATTCTAAAAACTGTGATAAAAAGTGTGCGTTATGTAAATGTCGTCTGTGACACCCAGATGGAACATATTATTGGAAAGCAGCACACATTAAAAATATAGTTCATATAGTTCAAGTATAGTTTTTGATTATTCATTAAATCACAGCAACAAATCATCAGTATTTTAAGGAGACTTTATCAAGGCAGATGCCAACACATGGTTCAAACCTGTATCAACAACCATCCCAGCGGAGAAAAGCTGCAGCGACAGCATCCTAAGTAGATGGAAGCCTCAACAGCTGCTCATCTTTAGTTTTTCATGAGAATTTCTTCATAACGTAAAGCGCTCACACTTTCACTTAGCCGACTCAAGAACTGTATGAGCCTGCGATAACTGGAGCTATACGCGGTACCAAAGGGCGCACTGGTGTGGAACATCAATGTCAGCACATTCAGACGCAGGAGGTCCAACGGGGAGGAACTATGAAAACTTTGTTGACCGTCCGGTGCTTACTGAGCTTTAGGAAGCCTGGGAGCGTGGGGCTGGTGTTTTATTCATGGGCCAGAAAACATGAAAAGTACAGCAAACAGAAACATCCTACGTTGGGGTAATTGAGGACGAGAAAGAGAGATTTCGAGATAATGAGATAACTTTTGTGAGGGAATTTGAAAAGCAAGTGATTATTACGCTGTACTAGAAGAAAAGTGCTCTCAGCAGAGTGCAGCAATCCACCAGCAGGTGTGTCTGCCTCTCCCCTCCCAACCAAAGAAGAGTTCAATCTCACACAATTGTCCCTCCCGGCTCCCTTACAGTCAAGATGGGGATGAAGATAACAGAAATGAAAATGTATTCATCTTGTATCGCGCCTAACTTTAGTGGATCACAACATATCGGCAATGGAATTAATCTGCAGATGCTCCAGTTCAAAATTAGACCAAATTTAACTTTTCTATGGTTGTCTATGAATGTTTTAGCCCAGACAACTGCCAGAGATGCTTTTGCAAATTAAAGCAGTTGTTTATGACTTATGGTGATGGTTCAGAGGAGTGAGGAGTCCGCAGTCAATGATGGTAGAAAACTGTCAATAAAATATAGGTTTTTAAATACAAATAAAATGTTATCACACAAAAAATGAGCACAAAGAATTATTAAGCAGATGGGTCTAGTAGTATGCAAGATTAGCCGTGAACAGACTGATACACACACACACACACACACACACACGCGGCCGAACACATCTCCCCACAGGCTTGCCGGAGATAATGAAAGTTTAAAACGGGAGTGAAACCGTTATTTGACAGAGAATGCAACATAAAGGAAGAGTAGGACGGAAGCACATTGCAGGTTATTGGCCGGTCAGTCTCTTCCTTCTGTCCGATGGGAGACTACTCTACAGTTCCATAACATCATGTAATATGGAGCTTAATAATTTGAAATAAGGAGGAGACCTTGATATTTTTTCCTGAACCTCTCGTGAAAAGCCATGTACAGTATAGTGGATGTCTGTTCTTTTTAAATGAATGCATCACACAGAATTGAAAGGTTAATCAAAATAAAGATGAATATTTTGTTTGCTGGATCAGCAGAGGTTTCTGACCATGATTAACCAAACGATAAAGAAAAAAAACCCTGAATTGTCCACAAGATGATTAATGTACAAGTTATTAACCTGTGCACCAACAAGCTATTATCCATATCCCATCAGCACAATGCTATTTGGCATTATGTGTAATCTTGTCGTCTACGATTAGAAATACCTTCTCTTTCACCATTTGGAAATAGTGCAGTAAGCCAGACATGCACGATTGGGGTCAGGACCCCAAGAAATAATCTGCTTTGGGCATTTCAATTTGAAACGCCGATTAATCAGACAAAGGTTAAGGGGGACAGCTGAGAACCAGACAACTCAGGGTTATTGTTTTGCAACTTGGAGAAAGCTGGTAGGTAAATAAGTCTATAATTTGGTTTTGAGTCTTAAATGTAGAGCTGATCTAAGCCTATGGATCAGGTGGCAAGGCACCACAGGGTGTCCTCTGTGTTAGAGACACCCAGAGACAATATGAACGTTCTGCTGTAGGGTTTGCATCAGTATTATAAAGATTGATCAATGGGGGCTTATTTATGCAACTACTAAAGGATGTAACCATCTATATGTATGGTTGTGCTTCTTTGGTTTACATTTATGGGCAGTTTGAGATTATTCATGGCCCTAACCTCTTTGTGGCAAACAGCCAGAAATAATTGTTGGCTAATATCATATTAGAAAGGGGAAATGTATCGAAGCATAACGGCCATAAAAGATGTCAAGTCTATCAGCAACCGATAATGATTCACTACTTCTGTGGCAAAATGTGTACTTCTGGTCAATCTTTGCTTCGGTGAACAATGGAACAAAGTCAATGAGCCTCAGTTGTCCTTACTTGAATACAAGTTTATAATAACACAAATCTGACTTCAGAGTAGATCTTGGTATACAGCCGTGGGAGTCGGGAACATCATCACAAATCATATATTCCGTCAGGTGTAATAATTGTCTAAAAGACAGAAAAAATAAGATTCCGCACACTAGATAATGTTCCCATGAACATAATAATTGTCTACTCACAACTACTGAATGCTTAGTCTTAAAATGTATAGAATTCATCTGAACTTGTGTGGTCTAAATTCCCCCCTCTGAAAATTTCAGCAGTCAATTTCAAGTCAATTATCAAGAGCTCAATTCTAATTAGGTGTTGCTCATAAGATTCACATCTTTATCGCCATTAGATGCATTCAAATGAGGCAGATTCGGCCATCTCAGTTAACTTACCATCATAACTGATTACAATACAAATATACAAATAATATGCCCATGTGCCAACTGTGTTGTTGATGCTAATTCTCAATCTTTTTTTTAACTTCGATCATATGACCTAATGAGCAATAATAATGAAACTATATTGTAATAGATGGCAACGCTGCTGTGCCCCGTGGTGTATAGGTGTGAGTCTGCGCCTTTATGTGTGTAGAGTAAGGAAGCAAATTAAACTAAATTGAATCCTCCGCAGGGTGCAGCTTTTGATAGGCGGGACGCTGTAATAGTTGTTGCTGCCTCGGGAACGACAGCTGAACTTTGATCTAATGCGAGAGCAAGTGTTTGGCAAACTGTGACCTGCTGGTAGATGTCAAATAAAATCATCCTTCTGGTTGTTGTTTTTAAATCGAATCTAAAAAAAATCTCCCCGTCTCTGTCTGTGTCCTCTCTAGATCTGTGAGTGCTGAATGCTGAATGCCATTAACTTCTTTACTGACATCAAGGCACGCCATTGAGGAGCACACCCTGTCTTCTTTTACCTGCCACTTTACTTCCCCCTAGCGAGAGCTAACATCACCGAGAAGCTCCTCCCGCTCACCCTTTAACCAGCTGTTGCTATGGAGAATCTCAGTGAGCTCCAGAACCCATTGTTGGACAAAAACAGTAAGCACATGGTCAACGGTTATGGGGGCGACTTCCCGAACAACCAGTACCAGGAAAACATTATTAATTACTTTGCTGGAGGAGGAGGCGAGGGAGGAGGCGGAGGAGGAGGAGGAGGAGGAGGAGGAAAGGTGAATAACGGCAACGTAGTGAGCGGAGGTAGTTACAATACCAACGGGAAGATAAAATCTCAGCAGCTTTTGGACGCCACCTCGCTGCACCTGGCGGTAGAGGCGTTCTACAGGCCCAACTTCATCCTGTATAAGGAGGACAGTGGCAGCATCAAGGCTAAGGAATACAAAAGCGAGTGCTGCGAGACCACGTTCACGGAGAAGAAAGCAAAGGAGGAGTCCAACGCGGCGGGGGCGGACACGCCTGCTACCGAGGATCCCCAGGCGAAGCTGCTGGAGGACGGCGAACACGTCAAGATCCAAACCGTTTCCTATGACGTTGAGGAGGAGGAGTACGTGGAGTACGAGGTAAGAGAGGAAATGCATGAGTGGAATAATGAGAGAATCCATTTGACCAGAATGGATTTTTTTTTTGTTGTTGCAGTGAATAGAAAGTTTTTGAGATATTCATTTTCAAATTAGGCCATTTAAAATGAAAATGTAAAGTATGTAGCACTTAGCCTTGAGTTTTGTGCTTGTGCCATCATCCAAAGCAATGTACGGACCATCAAAGACATACAGAACGTTGTTTTAGTTTCATAAGATACTTGATGGCAGTTGAGGTTCATTTCTTTAGGGGTCAGTGAGAAACTTGTGTGATCTTAACGTTCCATACCAGGCCGACGTATCCGTCCATCCAGGTGTCCGAGCGCCTGCAGTGTGTTTGTGTTAATTGAGAGACAGAGCGAGCATGCTTGTATCCCTGTGGTATTAGCACACTTGTATCATCACATGATTGGGCTCGACGCCTGGATCGGACTGACATTTTACTAACCACAAATCCCATTTGATCCACTGACCTTGGCCTCAATTCCCAACTCTAGTAAAATTCACCCATGCTGGTCTCACCCAGGGATATTAGAAGCTACAGTACTTCAGCATTACAGTAGTTTTCACTCTACTGGCGTGGCCAATAGCACAAAGCACTCTAAAAGATTTAGGGGATTGGACTGGCGGAATAGGGTGTTGAGTACAACCAGTGTCCTGCAAGTGTCCCAATGAACCGACTGCCACACACCCGCGGGTCTGCTAGAATTAACCTGGATCGCTGTGATAAACATGTAGCTGCTGAAATGCAACGTGACATGGATACATATAGTGCGGGGGCTCTGCAGAGAGACAGTGCATTTCACATCATGAATAAAAAAAAGAAAACATGGTTCTTCGCTAACTTCACTTAGAGAAAGAAATACAATGTTAATGCAAAGAGATAATGTTCCTTCCGTTGCTCTCTTTCACTAGTAAACGTAGGTGGACGCAGATAAAATGCACATGTTGTACGCACTAATGCACCAACTGGAGGCTCCTCTTGGCCATTTAAAGGTTAAGTCCACACATTACCATATCGTTCATCTAAACACGTGCCCTGTTCACAAATGAACAAACACATTGTTAGAAAAGCATAATCTTTCCCCTCAGCCAGCGTCGAGATGCAAGGAGGAAAATTCACAGTGGGACTTATTATGTACCACAAGGTGTACCTCACACATTGAGAGTAAATGTATAATGTTGTAGGTTTGTTTGGTAATAATATTAATTAGCCTGAAGGTGCCCCGTGGAGTTTTCTTGTAAGCAAACAAAGGTTCTGTTTACAAGCGCATTGATTGTATCCTCAAGCTCTAACAAACATGTTGGATGCATTAATAAAGATAAATGAAGATTTTCTGACTATTTAAAGTTGGGTAATATTCACATACATGTTTGCCACTGTCGTTTGCACTGTTGCTCTTCGCTGCCTTTGCACATTACTGCCACCGAGTGTTCAGCAGAACAGCTTGACGTTGCCCACACGACCGTGCGTGATACACAAACAGAAAAAGGACCGGCATGTGAAATCATTGATCCACAGCACAACAAAAGGTACATTTCTTTGCTTCACTCTAAATTGTAATCTTTGTGCTGTTGATTTAAGGACATCAGGTGTCAGCTAAATGTGAAGGTTTGAATTCATTTTGATGCATCTTATTTAGTCTGAACACTCTAAATGCTTCATTTAAACAGGACTGAAACTTAAGTTGTAATAGAGTTACAAACTTGAAAGGAACTATTTAGGGAGCCCTTGCTACCGTAACGTAAAAGGCACATTTAGACATGGTTATGTGACTCACATTTCGGGCACTTTTACACCTTGGATGGGCATGCATGTCTCCTGATTAAATCATCAAAAAGATTCAAAACTACATTATAAAATATATTTTTTCTTTGTTTATTTGATTAGAAAAAAAAGATAGGTACAAGCCTATATAAAAAATAACACAAAAGTCTCAAAGTAGACATGAATTATGACTCCCGGGGTACATTTCATCATTGGAAGCTAGTTTAGGGAGTAAAATCACAATCTACAGCTCGAATCACTTCACTTCTCCCTGGCAGCGGTGACCGAGGCTCGTGGGTATTGTAGTATTTAGATCCGTCCGAAGAAACAAAGTTAAAATTAATAAAACTGTTGGCCATAACATAAACCTATTGACATTATCCAACAGAGTCTCATGTTTCTATGTTATGTAACAGTGGGGATATTGTTCAGAGAACAAATGGAAATACATAATAAGGAAAAACAACAACTTCTTTCATTACGCAAATCTATTGGTTATCAATTAAATGGTGAAATGAAACATCTGTAATGAATCAAAACACTTAAAATCGTTGCATTTTTTTTAGGTGTCAAAGTTCACATGCAATTTTTCTTCACTGTGTAATCAATTATTCTTGCTGAAGTTTTGAACAGTTTGATTTAATTTAATTTGCATCCGTTTGTAAAAGTGTGATGTTGGTGTTCATTTGTATTTGTGAGAATGTGTGTGTTGAGTTTAATCTTTAATCGAGTTGTGTTATTCCAACTATTAACAAATACCGGCGTACATTCACCATGGTCGTCCATGTGCAGCGTTTTAGATGCAGAATAGTGAATTTATCTCGTAAAAACCTTCACTTAAAAACTCTGAAGCACAACTGAGCTGAAAAAGAATCCACTCTCTTTTCCTCTTCACGAGGGAGGTACGAAGAAGAAAATAGATTTAGGTAGAGGAGGATTGAAGAAGGTTGTGAATGTGACAAAGGGATGGAACATGATGCCTTTATACTCAGGCAATTGTCTGGTATAATATAAACTGTTCAGTTCTTCGTAGTTTTACAGCGATTTTGTGTCTAAATCAGTGGATGGAGGATTTTTAAGAAGCTCTGTTTTTTAGGAAAAGATGGTTGTTGCACAGCAGGATTTCTCATGTTTGTTCTTTTTTATTAAGGTTACAGTGTGACAGCAAGTGTCTTGGTACAACATTATAAGGCACTGACAGCTCGAGAGCAATGATATTAGAGGGCAGCATTTGCTGCTATTATTGGAATGATGGCAGTAAAAGTACATCTTTATGCTGCAGATCAATATGTCCTTCGCTACAAATATGTATCGCCTTTTAAATAATCTGTGTGACATTGATCACTAAATTTAGCTGTTTTTGGTGTGACCAGGCCTGTAGGGACATCTTTCAGGGATTTAACCGCTGCTTCTTTTTCACACTCCACATGCCGACTGCGTCTTTCAAAGTTTTTAAATCCCCCCCTATCTTGTCCGTTTCTCTTTCTATGCAGCTCATCCTTAGTGAGTCATATTGATTTAATAAAGGAATCAGTGGGGTGTGATGGCTTTTGCCTGATTCAGCTCAAAACAAGAGTTTGGGTCCAATCACTAATCATCCCAATCCTGCAATGTGGAGCGATACAGCCATTTCAAATGCATACAACACGTTATCTGAAAGGTTTTCGTCAGCACTCTTCAACTAGATGAGATGAAAATAGTGTCAATGTCTGAAAGCTGATTTACCTGATGTAGCTTTCTTTGAGATCAGCAAACTTTTCCGACAGCAAACAAAACCACGTCCCTCACAGGTCGATACAGCAGCCCACACACAGTTCCATATGCAACCTGCCATATTAGAAGGATTGCGGCGATCAGAGTTATTATTGTCAACCACGCTAAGAATTGGAGGAAGACTTGGTGTCAGGAAGTATCAGAAGATTCTATGAGGTACAGACCGCTACGGAGGAATGCCACTGCTCACCAGGTGTTGCACACAAATACGGGAAACTGTGTCAAATAATAAGCTTTAAATCCTCATTAATTCATTGAAGGTCCTTAACTCAAGGCGGTACAAGATGTTCTAGTTCTCCTGTCTCTGTAACTTGCGGATATTAAACGTTTGCTCTTTTCAGAACTCATCACGAAAAAAAATGAAAAGGGGGAAACTACTGCGGTGAAATAAAGGAATTTATTTTTAAATGGCTTTATTAAACACAGCAATTCTCCAATTATCAAAGCACATTACAGATAGCCCCGGGGGGGATTAGTAAAGTAGACAAATTCCATCAAGGAGATTTAAATTTGTCTTTGTTTTCAAACTTGAAGGTGCATGATAAGAAACAACAGGGATATTTCTAATGGTATCACTTTAGAAATGTGCAATCCTCCTATGATTTGAACCTCTCCTTCTCACTTTGCAGTTCAGTACTAGCTGCACACGGCAAACCTTTTATCCCAACACCAAAAACATCCAATTATCAATCCTCTGTAAGATTCACTGAAAGTCTTTCAACAAATGCATTCCCTTTGTGAAGAACCTATTTTTGCCTTACATAACACAACAATTCCCTTTATTACCTTTTCAATCATACAGGAAGAGACGTGTTTCAGGTAACACCACTTTCACTTCCTCCTTTTTCATTAACTTGCATGTATTCTGTTTGAGCGGAATATTGGAAAACAGCATTGCAGTTATTAAGACAGTCTAACAAACAGAGGGCCAATGATAATAAGCCGTGGCCCTGCTGAAGTGCCCTCAGGCAAGGGGCTGGATCGCTCACACCTGCAAGGTTGCAGTCGTGCACTCTGCCCTCCGTGTAGAAGATTAAAGCCAAGAGAATTTTGCCTTCAGAGGCCGACAAGCCTAACAACAGAGGGAAAGTCCTTCCATGTTAGAGGCCTCTGTGTCGGGAAAACCCAGACAACCTAATCTGTCTCCTTTTATCAGCTCCAGCCTTAACAAGTGCACAATGAGCACTGGAGGTCTGCCAAGTGGACCCCCCTCTGTCTCCGCCTCCCTCTTAGTCGCATTGCTCCCTGGCACATCAGATCATGTCCAAAAAAGAAGAAAAATGTAATGCCAAAACAGCATGACACAAGAGAAGCAAATCTGTATTTATAGCTCAAGCATGAAACAATGATTCGATCTATGTCAGTGCCGCAGCGTCCAAATTGCTGACAGTTAAAAGGTAGCATTTGTGAGCCGTGGACAGATTGCTGCTTTACGCTCTAC